GAAGGGGTTGGATTTCATATATAATAATAAGATATATACGACAATAAAAAAGGAATTCTACTATTTTTCACCAAAGTTTTATGAAGCCACGACAGGGAATGCTAGTTCCACTACAACAGTCGAGTCGAAACATCTTTTTAATTGGCACGTATGAACGACACATCCCGAATGAAAATGTGACTCTGTTTCTTCAGTTTATGAGTCGAAAGTTAATGAACCTACGGATTGTTATTAATTATTCCCGGGGGTGTCGAGGCATCCGAAAGGGCTAAAACAGAGGAGCGACTCGGACGACGCAGCGACGCGCACGCAAGGTCCATAGACAATCCAGCGTGGTTCTCATCAGGGGGACGCGACCCCGAAGAGGGAGGGAGCGTATCGAATCGAGGATCTTCGCAGATTTTCGGCGAGCTTCGTTCGCCCACGGGTTCTCCCGGGCAGCCGGCACGGCTCAGTATACTGCGTGGCAGCCTGGACCGCAGGCGCCTCCGGTCGAGGACACCCAGTTCGCGGTTGCGTGTCTGTGCGGCGCGGGTTGCACACACAGTGCGCTTCGTCCGGAGAGAGCGAGGGAGGCTTTTTAGGACGCGTCGCGGCCACGGCGACCCCCGCGTTTCCACCGACCTGCCGTTGCACCACCGTGGCCATAAACTTCCGACTTCGAGCCTCCGGGAGCTCTCATCGTCCATTCATAAAGTTCGAACTTCGCCGTGTCGCGGGGACAAATGGGAATTCGAACTTGGTATCACCTGCGACCTAGAACCAGCTGATTCCGCGTCGGCTTTCGAAAATGGAACAACTCCGGCGACAAACTCGTACGAAGTTCATCCAGTGTACGCGTCCGCGTTTCGATTTGAATCCGTCGGACTGAATCGATCCAGTCGTGGATCGATGCTCATCGAAAAGTGGATTTTCTCGAACAGTAAGCAGAAGTACGTTTTGCACGCGGATGCTGACTGCTGCTGCTGCTGCTACTACTGCTGTTGGTGCTTGTCCGATTAGTGGTGCGCGGACGGCCAAGCGTGTACGCGTGTGCGGTGTACACGGGAGACGTACGACGCAGTATAGACCTATACTACTGTGACACGTCCCGCGCGGTTCTTCGCTTGGCACGCACGGTGGTTTGTGACCAAAAGGGGTTAGAAAGACGAACAAAGGGAGGCGAGGAAAAAAAAGAGGAAAAGTAGAGTACGGGGAAGATGTAGTGGTTCGCGAATGACAGTACGGAGGAGGTGCGAAGCGAGAGCCTGGAGAAAGCGCGAGAGAGAGAGAGAGAGAGAGAAAGAGAACGAGAGAGAGAGAGAGAGAGAGAGAGAGAGAGTAATGATCGTGACGACGGTCGTGCGGACAAATGAACACCTCGGCACAGCGTTTGGGATATTCCAAGTGAGTAACGCACCGATCTTCTCTATACTTGGCCACGTACCATTAAGCTCGCGTTAGCCGCACGATATTTTACAAAGAATTCCACTCCTCGCGTGAGTGTTACGAGCCGGTCACGTAGAATCGCTTGTACGCGGCATGATTCAAGATCTGACGGCTAATCGCGGGCAGTCGATTCTGAGAGCACGGCTCGGAAAGGAATCCTTCGAACCTCGGGAATCGTGATGAAACCCATTTGGCAAACTGGGTTCGACCGATCCTCCTGGGAAATTCGATGAATTTTCCGACTTCCCTCTCGTGGCAATTGTCGCGCGTTACTCCTTCGCAATTTTCCGTTCCATAACCGCCTACACCCCCAACCCCCCGTCCCCCTCCCGCCTTGGCCTCCTTCCGGGCGACCGTCCCTTTGAACGCGCGATAAGGAATCATTCGAGCGTGTATATGCTTCCCTTCGCTTCGCTCCTCTTGGCTACTGCCGCATTTGGCGCGAAATCCGACGGTGCGGTTGGCACCGGACCCCGGGCCGATCCTCGAGCCGCCGGGCTTCGTGCTTAACGAGCATTTCTTGCTGGAAACTTTTCACGCGGCTAACTTGGCCGCGTTTAAATGCGCCGCAACACGACCACGTCCGTGCGATGCGAAATACTTGCGCGATCCCGAAGCCACTCGCGGCCCTCCGAAAATAATATCTACCGTTGTTACTCCACGCGCGGTACACGACGCTCTAATTAAAACTCTTTCGTATCGTCGAAGGAACAACGAGAAAGGCGCTGGCTATTTTTTCGGCAGATATTGCGGACGTAAACTGCAGTCCGAAGCTGATTGCCTGATAACGCGTTTGTCTGTGACGAAAGAATTTTTAAATAAAGTCTAAACGTTGTCCGATACTGATTGAACCTCTCCGGGAGGGTTCAAAGAAAATTCTCGGATGGAGACAATCTCGATGGGCGTTTCGAGATAAGAGGAAACCCTTCGGAGTCTTATCAGCGGGCCGGAAAAACTTCCGGAAAAATAGGAATTGAAAGCCCGACTGACGGAGATAGGGAAAGCATGTACAACCGAGATAAAGACGCATATATATGTCGGGGAATAAAACTAAATCTCCGGTCCGGGTCTCCTCCTTCCCTTACACCTGTAGGTTCCGGAGCTTCTTCGATAACCTGTGCAAGGAAACTATTCGGTAAAATTGTATAACCGTCTTTATTTTGATCATGTCGTTCTCACTGTTTCAAACGTTCGACAAATCATTAGGTGGATGTATAAAAAATACGATACACGATAGACTCCCGTGTAATAGAAAAATAGTACAGTTTTTTTACTGTGATTGCAACGTGTGAAGATGTTCTACTGGATTGTATGCAACTCGTCAGACTATTTCGCGATTCTATCATCGACGATCTGTTCAAAAACAATTGACAAAGTTCGATAGCTCGGGAACGATGTATTTTTACAAGTGTCTGCGATCTATATTTTTTCGAATATAGCGTGTCGAAAGTTTTGAAAAGAATTCTCAGATATTCTAAAGGGCCATGCAGTGCTACTCTAATTTTGTCGCATTTTTCTATTCAGAACTACTTGCAAAAAAATATAATATAATTATAGAAATTTATGTATTATGCCTTTTCAGATTTTTTAAATTGTAAACTACTTTTTCTGTCTTGATTATTAGTCACTGTCCTCAGTTAAAGAGAAACAATCTAATGCTCAATCAAAGAGAAACAATTAATCTTTAATCAAAGAAAGCAACCTAGTACTCAATGAAGGAGAACGATCTAATGCTTAATGAAAGAAAACAATCTAGTGCTCAATGAAATAAAAGAATCTAATGCTCAATCAAAGAGAAACAATCTAATCTTCAATCAAAGAAAACAACTTAATGCTCAATGAAAGAGAAAATCTAATGCTCAATGAATGAAAATAATCTAATCAAACCAGATTTAATTCTTGAATCAGGTAATTTCTGTGTTTTATTATTTGCTGCATTATAAGAACTCGCGTTATACACAGCCCTAGCAGAAAATTATAAACATAATTTAAATAATTAATCATTTATTGAAAAGATTAAAAAATAAATTGAACTGATTTATTGATCTTCCAAGTCTGTTCAAACATATCAATTCTCCTTGCCTGGAAGTATAAACTTCCCTACTTGAAAACTTAAAAATGTGCAGAAGTAAGAATAGCATTCGGAATGCGTCCACAAATCTGAGCTCGGAGTTTCCTTAATCGCGTTCGCGAGAGCAAGGTATTAGCATAAACATGCGCAGTTAGAATACATTACTACCAACAGTAAAGAAAAAGGAAAGAGCGCCGCGTAACGTTTTAACGAAAGAGAAATATCAAATCCGTTGGGGCGAGTTTCCGGTTAGACGAGCTTCCATCGCGGGAGCTGTCAGAGGGTTAGGACTCGCTCACTGCAATTCGTTGCCGATCCCGGGGCCGTGTAACATTACCATTTATATGGAGGACCGGGAAACGGTGGCTGGTCCTGGACGTCGAAATCCAGACGGGAGACCCGACGTGAAGAAGCCAAGGAGTGGGGAGTGTCGCGAGCAGAAGTAAGGAAGCAAGAAACCGGGGAGTGTAGGTTCCGAACGGTAGCTACCGGAGATGTTAGGGGACAGTCGAGTCGGTTCTTACGTCCGCTGCGAAGTGCACATTTCTGTAACGGATCGCCGCGCCGCCCGAGCCGGAGAAGAAAAACTCTTCCCCCTTGTATTTCCGGAAAGAAACGGGACGGCGGCGTGGGACGTTGATCGGTCTCCGCTCTTTCCGATCAGACGAATTCTCCGATCTCCGTTAGCGGTTCGATGATGGCGGGCCTGGAGATGCATTAGCATTTAAATAGCCGAAGAATCCGTAGTTGTTCGCGACGACGACGTGTCGCGAGTTTCGCAGCTAGCCCCGTGTGTCGTAACGAGATCTAGCGAGGGAAAAGTCGGCGAAGGCCGAGGTGACACGACTAAGTGGCGAACGCGGAGTGGGCGGAGACGGCGGAGGTCGCGAGGCAACCTTTACGAGCTTTTTAGAGGCGCCTCTTAACGAGCGTGGTTACTGTATCCGGTTACAGCGCGCCCGTTGTCCCCTGTATTAGCATTTACACAGAGTTAATTGGCTTTATCGTGGATCGTGGCGCGAGGATAAAAATAGAAGCTGAGGGTCCACTCGAGGGCGCCGGGGGGAACCGTGACGGGGTCCAAGCCGAAGGATTCGAGGTAACGTCTCGTCGCGTCAACAAGTCGTAATTTTCGGTCGGTTCGGCTCTTTGGCCAACGATATTCTCCCCGTAGAACGAGGACTTACCGGTCTCTATCGCAGCTCTAATGGAGCCTCGAGGAGGTTAAAATGAAATCTAGATCCAGTCGAGATCGAAGGGGGCGGGACCGGTGTCGAGTGGTGGCGAAAGAGCAAAGGGTAGCGATGGAATCGAGTACACCGATTCAAATTCACTCAATATCCGAGTGACACTCTGTCGGAATTAAGTGGCCCACTCGAAAACGGCAGTCCCATTCGAGTGAGGTTCAACATCGTACAAATGGGGAATTAAAGAAATTCGTTTCATGGCCGAGGTTTCGGTACGAACTTCAAATTAAAATTGTTGTGCAATCAATTAATTGTACATTGACCGAAAATAAGCATAAATAAGTGACGTACAACGCGTAACGTGTAAAATACAATAAGCTGGATGTACATTTCTTGATATTACAATAATTAAACTTAAGTGAATTGAAATTTTCTGTTTGAAAAATCGGTCATTGCAAGAGTCACGTTAAAGTTTCATTTCGAAGTGTCAGAGTAACGGCGGTATACTAGAAACCTGGAGGACAAGCATCCAATTTTGCAACGGACTTGATCCCATCGCTACAAGAGGTTTACGTCGTAAGAGGTCAGAAATGGCAGCAGAGGGTATCAGGTGGGAAACAATGGATAAGGTAGAAAGGAAAGCCAAGCCGAGGGGGATGGGACGCGGGGGATCGAGGATGGCCGCGCGGTGAAGGGACGGGCAGATGTAACTGCTCTTATTTCTTCTCGCTGCCGCCGTGGCCCGGGCAGGAAACAAAAGGCGATCCGACATCAAACATTCAAATTAGAAAACTCCCCCGCCGGTCCGTTCACGGGCCGGATTACCCCCTTTCAGTTTCAACCCTAAAGCAACAACCGACCCACCCACGCCCCTTCTCGTCCCTCGTCTCTCCCTTAACCCTCCGACGTCGCACTGCGTTCAACATTCACATCCTACTTTCCGCGAAGCCGCACACGATTCCAGCGGTTGCCACAGTCGGCCACGCTTAAGCTTGCTCCCAGCCTACTTTTCTCCAAACCGAATAAACCAGCGGCCCACGGTTTTCGGCGCTACGCGCCCACGTATGTACGCGGCCCCCGTGTGTTTGCGTCCCGAGTGCCACCGAACGCGTGCACACGTAACCTCGCGGCCACCCACGCGTCTCGACCCTATGCATATTTGCCCGGGGTCAGAGGCGAGGCTCGCGGCTGCCACGCTAAAACAAGGGACACCAGGGTTGCGTCCCACGCGATCAAACACGCCCGCGCTTCTTTGTCGAGATTGCCGCGCCGATGGGAGCCACTTCGCCCTTAGCTGTTATTAACTTTACACTAAGCGTAGGAGGACTACCATACGTTTCAAATATCGTTTTAACGTCAGTACTTAAGATTGTATGAGCCATAAGATCTCTGGTGTATGGCAACGTTATTTAAAATTGAATAGATCTCATATCTTCTATTTTCCATACTGAAATCTCATTATTCTATCACTGCACTCCTTGGCTCATATTTACACACTTTGTCCTATCTTTCAAAGACTATCCTAGTTGCATCGTTCTTTCACATCATCCTCAACCTCTAAACTTCATATTCCTGTCCTCACAAATCCTAATCCCTATCCCCTAAACCTGGAACCTACTCCCATCGCAAATACTATATTTGATGAGATATTCACAAATTTTGGTGTCTCACAAAAAAAATATGTTGTAGAAAACCGCATT